TCCGTCTTCATCTTTGCCCTAAGAGAAGATAAGCTTCCCCCCTAGACTCCAACTGGTGCATGAGTCTAAACTGCTCCTACCCTCCGACTGGTATACGAGGTTTTAACTGCTCCCTACGCTCTTAATCCAAATGCCTCGAAAGGCTAAGGATAGAGGAGAAATTTTAGCATTGAGCCTAAGAGAAACTCCTCGATAACTTACCATGCTAAGGGCAAGAGCATGGCTAGTCTAACTCAAACGACAGTTGGTAAAGACAAATCAAGTCCGTTGATAGCTGAGGGTTTGCTCAAAATCCTAGGAGGCGAGCATCAGCTGCGAGTGAAGAGGTCAACTCACTCCATCTGAGCGAGGATTAATTTACGGGACTTTATATCCAAAGTGTTCCAGACCCCATGCGGCTTGATTCAGGTCTGAAAACTTTGGAGGGGGTTTTGTAGGCAATAAAAATTACCTTTAAATCCTTATCAGAGAAGTTCAGAACAAAACTGCTAAAACCTCGTCCGAAATAACAAAAAAGGGGGAAAACACTGATAAAAAGGGGAAAACGCAGATATCTCCCAAACCGTAAGGAATTTGACGAAACGGAGGAAGCGAACCGAAGCCTCCGGCTAGGTTCGGATGGCTTCATCTCGTCAAGATAGGCGATTTTCATATATAATTCGTCCAATTCTGACTTACGGTTTGAAAGTTACGGCCTATTCCTCGATCCATGCTCGGGAGCTCGCCTAACAGCTTGAAGCTCGCCTACACAGCTTCGCCTGCACCTGCGAATCCGTCTGCAGATCCAAGTCTGCCTGCAGTCCCAAATCCGCCTGTAGACCCAAATCCGCCTACAGATACAAGTCTGCCTGCAGTCCTAAATCCGCCTGCAGACCCAAATCCGCTTGCAGACCCAAGCCTGCCTGCTCGCCTGTAGTTAGAGCTCGCCTGCAGCTCGAATTTCGCCTGCACGATCAAGACCCAAGCTCGCCTGCACACTCGAGCTCGCCTGCAGACCCACGTTTGCCTGCAGTCACAAGCTCGCCTGCAGACCCAAGATGCAGACTCACCAGCTCACTGTCAACTGCCCACTTGGAGTACGGGAACAGTTACATCAGTGGTCAAATCCCATAAATCAAGGGAGAAAGCATGGCGCTGTTCACCTAGCAAGAATAGGGTGACTGACAGGACCCCCTAAGTGGTCACATCCCACAGCTAGAGCGGCTAGCTCCCTTACCTCCATCAGTGGTCAAATCCCACGAATCAAGGGATGGCCCATGTCATCCCTTGCCTATTAAAAACCATCTTCAGCCAGCATGAAGGAGGGGATTGGCTGTTGCATATTCTGCTGGCTAATTTCCCAAAGGTTGAACCTGGACCTTTGCCAAATGCCCCCCTCATTTGAAAATTGAAGCTCCGACAGCAACTTCGATCGGATCGTCCAAGGGAAGCAGACTCGGCACGAGCACCGAGCGAGGCGTCCTATCGCCACCGAAGAACCTACGTTAAACAAGGAGGGCATTCCCTCCGTTTCTGTTGTAAACATTTGATTAATTAGTTTGTAATAAGCCTTCTTATCAATACAAACGAAGTTTCCTGTTTTCGGGAGATCAAAATTTACCCATACAGGGTGGGATTTTTAGCTTTGTTGGTATCACCAGGTTTGGATTTCTATAATTGCACAGCATGAACATTCTCACTTCTAGTTGATGTACTACTTTCTCCTGTTATCTGGTTCAATTTCATAAAATTTGCCACTCTAAAACCAGATTGAGCATGCATAACATGCACAACATCCTAGGAGCCAGACATGTTGAAAGGCTATTGCATAGCAATCTGTAAACCACCTCCAGACACACCAGACTCAGGTTGAGTATGCACAACATGCATAGATCCAACCTGAGATCCAGACAGAAGATCTGGAAGTAACACATGTTGTACTCCATCACCAGGAGTTATTTAGTTTTCAGGCATCACATGAGGAGATATATCCATATTACTTCCAAAACCTTTAACCAGAACACCCTGACTTTCTTTTGATCTTTGCTTTGGTACCCATCTCCGAGTCTTTGGAAATCTCTTGCAAAATTTTGTTTCATGACCCACATGCTTACAGTTATCACACCATCTAGACTTCAATTCATAATAAACTTCTTGATTAAAGCTTTTCCTACTTGAGTCTTGTATAGTTATTTGATCAGGAAGATGGGATGGCATAATTACTTCAACTAGCACTCTAGCATAAGACAACTGTTGCCTATTTGCTGTAAGTTTATCTATTGCTATTGGCCTTCCAATAATGCTAGCAATTTTACTGATAGCCTTTTCATTCCACAGATTAAGCCTATGAAAAAGCAATTGGATCTACATTGGGTAAATGCATTCATTTTTCCTTTCATTTTCTTCACCAAGGTCCATTATCAAGAATACTACTCAATTCATCCTTACTTTTGAACTTAAACAGGAATAACCCTGCTTTGAGAAGACATATTTCAGGGATAGCTAATGGAGCCCAGACTTTCTGCACAAATTTCTCCATTGCCTTGAACTTAACATTTAGCCCCATCACCTGACCAACCAGTGAGAACTCCCATAAGGATGCTCCTTCATTCCATTCTTCTTCATTGAAAGACACACTATCCTTTGCTTCAGATGGCAAATAACTCAGGCTCATGCCACATTGAGGCTTCCTGTTATCTGCAAAATAGCTTATACACAGCTTTTCTTATCTTTGTTAGGAACCTGACTTTCTTTTGGAGAACTCAATGGGGAGGAATTAGAATTCTCAATGTTTATTCTCTCCGTTATCAACTGAGATTTAGATTTCATATTTGAAGAAGAGCTTATAGTTTTAGATCTTATAGTATCATTCCTTTTCTCAATCGGATTCAATGGAACAGTAACAGATTTAAGAACAGCTTCAGAATTCAATAGAACAGTTTCACAATCACTTATCTGAATAGGAATCTGACATTGAGATGCTTTTAATCCAGAGAAATCATCATCTAATTCTACTACTTCAGCCCAAGAAATTCTATTTTGAGGAAGAGGAGACTCAGTGAGATGGCGAGCTTGAACCCCAAACACTTTGGCAGGAAACCCACTCACTCTGGCAGGACTTTGCATTGCTACTCGAGAAGAAGCATTGAGGATCTCCGCCATTGTTTTCTTCTTCTTCTCTCCTTTAGGTCCCGTTGACCCCATCAAGATCGAACTGAAATCTTCTCCCTCAGAAAGAAGATACTCATCTTCAAAACTGGTATCACAATGATCCTTAGGAGGAGACGAATTCAATTTTGATGCTATTAATCCAATTTCAATTATCTTCTTCCCACTATTTTTCTTTTTCTTCCCCATCAAATCTCGGCGGGGGTGCAAGTTAGTAAAACCAGATTCGCCTGCTAACATGCACCATTCAGACCACCCCTTTATATATTTTACAAAACTTCCGTATATTATTATTAGTGATTTTGGATGAAAAGGAAACAATTATTGTTATTAGAGTAAAGCATCAAACTTCCAAATTAGTAGAGAAAAGTACATAATGTCATTAAACTATATGGTAGCTTTATGATAAATCCTAAGAATCCAAGATAATAGGGCAGTCTAATATTGCTGGAGATTATAATAAGTTGTTTATATAAATAGCTTGTACAAGTACTTTATATAAGATGTAAATGACAGTCGTTTGGTAATCATATATCAAAAATTGATTCTAAAAGTAGTTAAGTTGTTTAACAAAATATTACGCTAAAAGAATATAGTCAAAAGGTAATGAATATATATGAAATATAAACTAAAAAAAGCAGAAGTTATTTTAAAAAGTAGACGCTATTTCAATAAGCATGAAAAAAATCACCACATACCATGCATCATTGACTACTTCTTAAAATAATAAGCGGAAGTCCTAGAGGAAAAAAAGGCAATATTAAACTTTCTCATAATTAATAAGTGACATTTCTTAACTTTGATGGTAGTTCTACAAAATTCACTTTGAGTAAAATATTCTCAATATTCTAATATTCTCCTGAGAAAAATAAAGAATTTTGTGTGTGTATTATTTTTTCAAAAAAAAAAGCGCAATTTAATTTCCAAATAGACACGGACTTGAGTGTACCCTCTGTTCTCCTTATTGTCTATCCAAACACAATTTGTTCCATTTCATCCCCTTCCTCTCCATTCCCTCTCGTTGGATTTACATTTTCCCTCGCCTACCATGCCGTGCATCGAAACCCACTTCAGGTCTCAAGACATGACAAAACCTCTTTAAAATTTAATCAACACCGTAACACTAACTATACTCACTTCTGGGTATAAAAGTAACTAAGATATCAAATGGCAGGTAATTTCTTTGATGTTTGACCCAAAAAGATCTTTGATGGAGACCTCAAACCACCATTAAATCGGAATCAGCCAACACTAGCAACAACAATCTGACATTAGTTTAAGCCACGCATTAATTAGCCTCATATGCTTCCTTCCTTCAGAAATTTCCCTTGATATCTAACGCCTCTTTCACGAAAACGGACCTAGGGCAAAGAGGTAGAACTAAAAAAGACCTCTGATGACTTCCTCTAATTCTAAGATCTAACCCTTTGTTCTCTCCTCAACTTGTCCACGTGACCTCCCTCCCTCCCTCTCTCTCTCTCTCTCTCTCTCTCTCTCTCTCTCTCTCTCTCTCTCTCTCTCAAACAACAACCAGTACTACATCATCACCATCTCCTCTTCTTCTCTCACCTCTGCAACTTATCTCATCCTTGAGAGAGAGAAGCCTGCAGTTGTTATTTCTGTATCAGCAAAAAGATCCCCATCAATATTTCCTTTTCTTCTCACCATCTTCACATTCTTTTCATCCCCCTTTTCCAATTTTTCTATATCACATATAATAATAACTTTTAATACCTTGCCTTTTAAGCACTCCTTCCTTCTTTCTTATCCCCACCTCCCCTCTCCCTCTCACACCTCCCCTCTCCCTCTCCACGCCTCTCTCTCTCTCTTCTCTCTCTCTCTCTCTCTCTCTCTCTCTCTCTCTCTCTCTCTCTCTCTCTCATGCCTGAATGTCCACAGCCAGGCAAGAACATGAAACACCCTTAACCCTAGTTTTTTAACCCTTAGCCAGAAAGAAAAAAGAGAAGGGTAAAAAAATCTAACCCTAGTTTTTTCCCGCCTTTTTTTAGGAGAGGCTCGAGGAAGTAGGGAAGAAGATAAGAGAGAAGCCGATGTCATCAACGACCGGATGTCGAGGAGGAATCTGCTGGGTCCCGTAGGGACTCTGAACACTATCACTCCTTGTGCAGCTTGCAAGCTCCTCCGCCGGCGATGCGCTCAAGAGTGCCCCTTCTCGCCTTACTTCTCTCCTCATGAGCCTCAAAAGTTTGCATCCGTACATAAAGTTTTTGGGGCTAGTAACGTCTCCAAGATGCTAATGGTATGATTATTTGAAACTCTTTTGTTTGTAATTGTTAGTTTTGTATTGGAGTTTTGTTCTTCAGATGTCTGGATCGATGTCTAGACAATCTTCTTGCGAGAACTTGTGTAACTTTGAAATTTTTTTAGGTGAAATTATGAAAACATTTGTTAATTTTTTAAAGAAATTAATTTATACTTTTTTTTATAAGATTTAAGAGAAAAACAGAACAAATTTCAAGAATTTTGATAGTTGAAAGTATGAAAATAAAGGAAATGTGGTCCTTTCACAAAGCAAAAAAATATATAGGATCTCTCTAACATTTACTTATAATTTTTTTTTCCAAATACAAATGTCTTTACAAAATTTTGAAGAAAAAAAAAACTCTTTTTGCATAACTAAAACTTTTACTAATAGTCACTGATGAGAGAATTAATCAATTGAATTCATTTTGTTTAGACTATATCCTTTGTTCATTGAACATGAAAATTTGCTTTGACAAGCAACAATTTTTTTCTTATTTAGAAAAAAGTAACAACTGTTTCTTAAAATTTTATATTACTCGAGATCGTTCTATTTTTGTAGCTGAAGAAATCTGTACAGCTTTACAAATCAATCATCCTTTAGAGTTCATTCAATTTAATGGGAGTGATGTGGTTTGCATCATAAACGGAATAGTTAAAATTTCCAGCCTAATCATCATGTACTGATCCATTAATGAATGTTCTGATAAAAGTTGTACTCGATCCATACAGGAGGTTCCTGAGCCTCAAAGGGCCGACGCAGCGAACAGTCTAGTGTACGAAGCAAATGTTCGACTCAGAGATCCAGTCTACGGATGCATGGGCGCAATCTCGGCATTACAGCAACAAGTTCAAGCTTTAGAAGCAGAGTTGGCCATGGTGAGAGGCGAAATTTTAAAGCATAAATATAGGCAAAGTAACGCTGGCATCAATATTCCCGCTGCTCTACTGGCTTCGATCCCTACCCCTCCACCACCGCCGTCTGTTCAGGCTGCTTCGTCGTCTTCTTCGATGTATACTCCGGCATCGAATTCGACGGATTATAGCTCTATTACCAATGAAAATGTTACATACTTCGGATGAGAAATAACTTGGATTTTAATTTTTTTTTTCTTTTGTTGATGTACTATGGGAATATGTTGAATAAAGGGGGAATTAGCATTAGGCATTGGTTTGTTAGGATGTTATTTATTGTTTTTGACTTGATCAGTTTATACTTACCTAAACTTGGTTGAATTAAGGCATAGTGTTTGAATTTTGTTATGTATTCACGTGTGAAGCTAAAAGTAAGAGGTTGATTGTTCAAATTTCAGTTCACCAACTTTAGAGGACATATCTTCATAACTTGGACCATCATACTTTTTTGAATTGAGGTGAAGTGTTTGAACTTTGTTATGCTTCTAACATTTTTATTTTTATTTTTATTCATATATATGTGAAGAAAACATTTTTTTTTCGCTTGGTGCATGATTGCCCATAATGAGAAGAAGGAAGAGGTTGATGTTTCTATTTCTAAGTTCATTTCGACAAGAACAGAAGAAATGCCTTTATCACTTGCACCGTGAGGCCCATGTCAAACATTTGTTGCCTTTTTCTCTCCTTTTGTTGTCTTCTGAATTCCTCCTCACTAAAAAATACGAAGGGTGGAAAGCGCAGCTTCAATTAAATTTCTGTGGCACGTGCCGAGTTGCACGTGGGTGTGAGATCTTGTTGACTCGTAGAGGAGTGAGAAAATTGAGTTCGAGGGTTCCCTCTCTCTCACCAGTTTGTCCGTGCCTTAAAATCTCAAAGTCTTCATCCGCATTTAAGGAGAGGGAAACAAAAGGCATTGTTGAGTTGGTGCCCCCCATGCAACTGGGGCCAGAATCTTCTCGAGTCTTTAGTCATGTCATGTGGCCAGCTGCTAGAATTGAAAAAAATAATATTAGTGAGGGTTTTTTTTTTCCAAATTATTAAAAGAACTCAAACTCGAAGTTTGACTGTCGTTTATGTGTTTCAGTAAGCCAATATGTGAATTTTGTTTATCTAAGTTAAACAAAAAAAAATGTGTAATACAAATTAGAGCATACAAAAAATAAAATAAAAATAAATTTAAATATAACTCCGGATCATTATCACAACTTGAAATTTTTGTACCGTAGTGACGGGTGCTGCTTGCCACGTAGTATATAATCATTGAGGAAACGCAAAACTAAAGTCTTCGTGTGTCTAGTCGTACGTACTACTTAAGAGTCCAAATCTGAATTTCTTTTGTTTAAGTTTGAAACTTGGAGGCAACAGAATCCGAAGCTAGGTTGCATGTTTCAGTTGGAGAAGAGTAGGACTAAACTCAGTCCCCGGTCCATACCCACATTGTCATGAACATTTAAACTAGCAACTTGCTCTCATGCAAATCATCAAATAGCCATTTAAGCAAGAAACCTATTTACTTTTTTCTTTCAAGGAAACACTACTATATCTTAATCAACATAGAGTATGTTTCTAAGGGGAGTGAAGAGTCAATATAGTCATCTAAACCTGCTTATCCATGATTGAGAACCCCGGCATGCTCCCGCTAGCAGAGCATGCGGGTGGTTCCGAGGAAATTACTTTTGTTAAAAAAGGTTAATTACAGATACACCTCTAATACTATTAACCAAACTGAGGATAATCTCATTGCAGTTCTATTATTATAGATAGACCTTTGAGAGAAATCTTTTTGACTCTTTTACGTCCAAATAAAGGAAGAGAAAATTGTTTTGTTGACAAACAGACCTCTATCACCCATGAACTCCTCCGTCAATTGAACAGTAGCATATGTAAGTAATCCGCAATTACCCTTAAAAATTTGTCATAGATTTTGCAATTTAAAACCATATTTTTTAGCACATGAACCTACCTTACTATATATCACGTGCATCACAAGTGCAAGGCAGTAATGAAACATGTATGCAACCATTTCTAAAGTCATCATGTGTCGAAATGGTGAAAATATTGGTAAAGTTCAGAAAATTTGAAGCAGACAGGCATTTGGGTGTTTGCCGATCGACCGCGAGCTTTGGCGTGGTCGACCGTAAACGTGTACGAGTACAATGTAGTTTCTGGAGTTCTGGTCGGTCGACCATGAGGTTAGGTCCGGTCGAGTACTGCGGACCCTGTAATGGATTTTTTGGTTTCTGTCGTTCTGTCCGATCGACCGCGCCGATCGCGAGCTTTGACGCGGTCGACCGCCAGTCGAGTTTGGGCCTGAGATTTATTTCCTGTTCTAATTTGGTTCGTATTTTGATATATATTAAAACACGATTTTAGGGTTTTGTTTATCAGATAATAGAGAGTATTTTGAGCACGATGAGAGGGAGAACTTGTGAGCGAGTTGAGAGATCATTTGTTAGGGTTTGTTCGAGTGTTTGAGTGATTGTAACCCTTTTGAACTCTCCTCGAAATGGTAGAATCTTCCTATCCTCTCACCGTGGGCGTAGGCAAATTACCGAACAACGTATATCTCTATGTTTACGATTGGTTTGTCGTATTTGTTTGGATTGTGCTCGAGTTTGGTTTGTTAATCTTCTTCCGTAACTCGCGACTCATTTGGTGTGTAAGCACGCTTCCGTAAAGGCGCGTGCCAATTGGTATCAAAGCTCAAATTTCAGATCTAGAATTTTGGCATTATGTGGAGGAAGATTCATCGTGAAAGCTTGGTTCTTGGAGTTCTAGGTTTTGGTAGAGATAGTGTTTGGGGTTGCCGTTAAAGATTTTACTTTTCTTATATGGTTAGGAAATCTATTTGGAATCTGTTCTAGGGTTCAGTTGAGTAACTTCTAAATTCTATCAATTTTAAATTTTTTTCTCTACAATTTAGAGTTTGTGAGTATGGGTGAAGGTGTTGGTGAAAGCAGCAAGATGGTGGGTACAGTTCAAGTTGGTTTCCGGAACACTAAAATTAGTGTAGTTAAATATGACGACAATATCAATTTTGGTTTGTGGATGAGTGACGTACATGATGTGCTCAATGCTCAGAATTTAGAGGAGACCATCATGATCCATGAGAGGCCACTAAAATATAAAGAGACGGTATGGAAAAAGATGAATAGGAACGCTTGTGGAATGACCAGATCCTGTTTGGAATAGGAGTTGAAGTATGATATGATTGGGGTGACCTCTGCAATAAAGATGTGGGAGATTCTCAATAATAAGTACCTTACGAAGAGTGTCGAGAACCGTTTGCACTTGCTGCAAAGATTGTTCAGATTTTTGATGTCCAGGGACACCTCGCTTGCAGTTCATGTGAACAACTATACGAAGTTATTGTTGGACTTAGCGAACATGGATGAGAAGATCACAGATGAGTACAAGGCTATTATTCTTTTGGGCTCTTTACCGAATGAGGAGTATGATACATTCGTGTTTACTATGCAAAGATTCTTTTGGGCTCTATCACATATAGTAAAGTTACTAATACTTTGACGAACTATGATTTGAGGAGGAAGGATAAAGAGACTTCCCGTGCTAGTACTTTAGGAGAGGCCTTGTCAATGAGAGGTAGAAGCCCATACCCAAGAGGTGGTAATAAGAGCAGGTTGAAGTCTAGAGGCAATCACCAGTTAGCTAAGAACCATTGTGCATTCTGCAAGGAATATAGACATTAGATGAGAGACTGTCCAAAGCTCAAGGAGAAGGAAGAATGGCCCGAAGGCCAATGAAGTGAATATTACGAAAGATGATGATTCTGATGATTTGAGCTTTTCTCTATTGATTACTGTTTGGTGGAAAATTTACAGTAAAAGAAATGAAGGAAAATTGACTTGTATTCCTTTAATCTCAATTACAATTGGATTTTCTGATTACAAAAGAGAGGAGAATGATCTGGATTCTCCCCTTTGTTTAATTCTGGGTTCTTCACGGTGGCGATGGAGTGCCTCCCTCGAATGTTCGCGTCGAGTTTGCTCTCCGTTGACGATCCGAACGTCTTGATTCACTGGAACGTGGTCTTCTCCTCACGATTTGACGTTGTGGAGAACTCTGAACGAGTTTAAAACTCTATGAAAGAGTTGATTTTACCGAAAGTCGGTTATAAGCCAAGGATGAAGAAGCTCCTCGTTGATGATCTCCAAAGCTCCAACAATTCCCCCCAAGATCTCTTCTTTGCTGCCAAGATTTTTCCAACTGACCGCCCCGAAAGATCCAGCCACGAACTAAGTTGATTTCTTAGTTATTTATAGGGAATTAAGGGGTGTAACCACCTCCTTAATTCGCTCCTAAGTGGGGCTAATGGGATGTAACCGTCCCTTAAATCACTCCTGAGTGGAGTTGTGATCTCCTCAGATTGTGGGAAACGGTTTTGGAACCGTTCAGCTCGTGTTTGAACGAGTCAAACGCAGGCCCGCGTTCTGACGTGAATTCTGCATTCAAACGCAGTGTCTGGAAGCTTGAACGCATCGTCTGGAAGCTCGGACGCAGTAATTAGAAGCTGCGTCTGGCGGTGATTTGAGCTGCATTTGGCAGCGATTTGAGCTGCGTCTGGCAGCGATTTGAGCTGCGTCTGGCAGCGATTTGAGCTGCTTTGAGCTGCGTTTGGCAGCGGTTGGAGCTGCGTTGAGCAGCGGTATAGAGCTACGTTGGGCAGCGCTTGGAGCTGCGTTGGGCAGCGGTTGGAGCTACGTTGAGCTACGATATGAGCTGCGTTGAGCTGCGTTCGTGGCTATGAACGCGGCGCATCTTCATGCTGGTACGCGGGGAGGACTTCCACGTCTTGATTTGAAGAGACCATCGATTTATAGTCTCTTTCTATCGAAGTGTTGCAAAGATCGTCATTTTGTAATCTTTGCTTTAGCTCTCTAATATGTGAGAGTCGTCAGATTGTAACTCCCGATGTTGATTGTGGAGGCTGTTGATTAGGGCTTTCATCAATTGTTGTGAAGGTCGTCAGATTGTAACCTTCATCGATCTACGTAAAAGTCTTCAAATTGTAGCCTTCTGGAAGTCGTCAGATTGTAACTTCCATCATCGGTGTTTGATGGGGAATCAGCTATCTATTATGATTTTTAGACAGCCTACAATTACTCTGGAGGTAAACCATATGGATACATCAGATTGGATGCTTGATTCTAGCGCTACTTATCATGTGACTCCCAACCGAGATTGGTTTGCATTATTTAAGAGACTCGATGGGGGGTGTTGTTGTCATAAGAAATGATCAATTTTGTGATATTTATGGGATAAGTACCATGAGGATCTGGATATGCGATGGAGTAGTTCGTGAATTGAAAGATGTGTGATTTGTTCCATAAA